TTTTGTATGAGCCACACGGGATAAATCACGTGTACCAATAACAATGCGAGTTATTTTTAGTCGGAAATTTTTTTGGGAGGGTCGCTGTGTTACTTGTCATGGATCATATTTACGCGCGTGACTGGGTATGATCGACGTAACCCATCGGTACTGGTCCGGAAATATCACATGATTTTGCACTGTCCCTAAGCACTGTCCGACATGATCCGGAAAGATCACATGATTTTGCACTGTCCCTAAGCACTGTCCGTAGACTTCCCGCCCTAAATATCAATCAGGTCACATGCTGGGGGAGTTTACAAATTCACGTGCAATTCCCCAAATCTTTTCAATAATAATCCTTCGCGACAGTGGGCAAATGGTACATTAAATTTAGCAAGTATATAGTCTTTCTTTAAAAAATCTTGCTGCAGTCAGTAAGAGCTAAAAATTACAGTCTTTATTTTAGTATTTGGGCATTCTTTATTAATTGTTGAGTTTTTGAATGTGTATGATAAGGCTACTAGTATATTTATAGAGCAGGAAACCTTTGATATTGATACCGTGTTTAATGAATATAATGATAATAATAAGAATGACCAAGTTTACTTGCGTTCTCTCCCCTTTGGCACATCGTCAGCATCAGCATTTATTGATGATAAAAGTATGTATAATCTTCCTGCTTTTTAATGTAATCCGAGTTATACATTTAATGTGTTCCTGATCTCTTTTAGATAAACAACAAGCAAAAAAGTTTTCTTCATTCCTGTTACCTGATCTTCCGACGCGTCCGTTTGATGTGATTCTTGAGTCTTTGCCGTGTACTGATAATTATTATATTCCAAAAAATCAAAAGCATTCTGGTGACTACTCGGAACTTGTAATTTGAAGGATGTTAATGTAGATTTTAATAAAATTGGTTTTCATTGCAAATAGGAAAGGGATTGATTGTCGGACAAGATGAAATTGATAATGACGATGAATATGATGCCGCAGAGACGAATACCACGACCACCACAGATGATTCCTTATCGTCATTGTCGACATCAACTTGCTCGATTTGGCAAGAAGCAATTCAACAATCAAAAGATAACAAAGTAATTTTATGCCCATTGATCGATTTTTCGGGATCATGATACCGTTTTTTATTGATTAATTATATTTAGTTTAAGATATTATCTTGGGATACAATTGGATCGCCATCATTACAGAAGACGCCATATCTTACCGAGACTAATACAGAAATACAAGAAACCGTTTTTCAGAATTATTTTCATAATGAGTTGGTGCCAGCGTGCCCCGTTTTGTCGCAAAGCGATCTGATGAGAGTATGTAATTATTATTGAATTGATTTATTTTTTTGATTTAAATTTTGTTATTTTGGTTCAATTGACATGTTTAATCAATTTTTCATTAGAATATTTATTACTTAGTGATTGGTATTTCATCTAAATTGTTTTCGTATGATTCGGAATTCAGGATTTTTCGGACAACGACAAACTTTCGAATAAACGGATGTAGTGAAAAGGCTATGAACAAGTAATGGGGATTATGTCAAATTCTAATATTTCAAAATAAACTAGTTTTTATAATAGCTATAATGATTCTTTGTATTCAAAAAGAATTCTAGTTAAATTCTTGGATTTTGGAACATACATCAAGCGCTTAGAGAATGTTGCGAAGCAATGCATTCAGGATCGGAGGTAAGCAAAGTATATTTAGTTGATACTTTTTAAATCAAAAAATGATTCAAGTTTTATAATTATATTGTATTAATTTCGATATAGCGCATACGGTCTTACAGGAATCGCATTTGGACATTCACTATTAAACACCTTAACTTTTATCCGGTTATCAATCACTTCGTTGGCAGAAAAATATGAAGGGCTAAAAAAGATGAATTTAATCCAGTTTTATTTCACAATCAACGAATCTTTTCGTTTGTTGGAATGTCTAGCATCATTTTGCTGTTGTGTATGTGTCAAACATAAATAACTCATCTTGTTCGTATTTATTGTTAAAACACTAAGAAAAAGATTATTTTTTTTAGGATCGTTCAAATACCATTCATTTGGATTTAAACCCTGAACAAAAACAAAAGGGATTCTATATACCTTTTGGCGCCGAAATTATTTCTAAATTATATGTCTTCTCGCAGCGAATTGACGCGTCACAATCATATCTTTTGAAATCTGTGTTTTTGGCATTACTAGCTGAATCAAGTTACTCGTATTTCCAAATGATTAATTCATGGATTGGATTAAATACACCACCATTATCATCTCCATCATCGTCATCATCATTATTGTCATCATTCGAAAAGGACCCACTTCTTTACCAGACTACAAAAGGCGAATTCAGTGATCCATATCAAGAATTTTTTATAAAGAATATTGAGGACGGTTACGGGCAACAACAAATAAAGATTAGCAAGTCAAGTCCTTTGCCAGCTTTTATTTCGATGGAACTTGCTAGAAATATGTTGGCTGCTGGTATATCGTTAAAATTGTTGAGAGATTGCCGGCCGAATCATCCGTTGTGTAATAATAACAGTACTTCCGGTGGACAACAAAAAGGACTGTTGTTTCGATGGGATAAGAATGTAAAGTGGATTTTCACACAAGGAGAGATATACGAGTAATGGTTTTTTCTTTTTATTGTTTTGATAATTTTTAAGAATCATCAATACCATTAATAATTTTTTGCAGTATGCATGATCAATTACAAGTATACATGCGCGACATGATGCTTGCAATAATTGCACAAGACAATAAACGAAAAGCATCTACCGCACGAATCCGAGCTAATTATGAAAGAGTTACAATAACCTCAAATAACGAAACAGAACTAATTGAACCCTCAAATTACCAAACAATAGAACTAATTGAACCCTCAAATTGCCAAACAACAGAACTAATTGACCTACTATACAAAGCACAAACCTCTAGTTCTGTATATAAAGAGAAAGACTACATTCCGCCACTACGCGCAATCACAGACCTTGTAATAAACTATCCAATCAGCACCCAATGCCGCCTCATCAACGCTTCAATCTTGTTGATATTCTTTCATGAACTTGCCCTTGTTGCGCATTTAAACGCGTTACATAACTTCTTGCTGTTGGGTAACGGGAATTTCGTGGCTGGATTAACTGATGCGTTGTTCAGTGATAATATCGATTACGGGGAAGATTTCTCTAGCAATAAAGCAACAATAGGAGGAAGTAGTGGTGGAGTCGGTATTCGATTGAATAGTCGACGAACTTGGCCGCCTGATGGTGTAGAATGGAGAATGGCTTTGAAGGCGGTAATTGTTGAAACTATTCTATCAGAGAAAAAAAATTCCGAGGTAGATGAAGGCCAGGATGGTAAATATTCCACCAGAGGATCATCAATAGTAGATGACTGGGGCTCTATTAATAATCTTGATGATATTTTGATGTTTGGAATCCAATCGGACGAGGAATATTGTCAAGATCCACAAGGTATTATTTATTGTTTGTTTATCCTATTGATATTATAAATACTGAACAAATTTTTCTTAATAAAATAAATAGCATTGGAAGCTTTGGATTTTCTCTATCTCGACTATAAACCACCATACCCAATAAACGTAGTAATCACTCCAAACTCTCTAACAAAATACAACAGCCTCTTCACATTCTTATTACGCGTGCTCAGACTCGACACTGTAGTGCACCACATTTATCGTCTTTCGCATCATCGATATTCGCTAATAGACGAAAAGAATGACAAAAGCGACACATTGGCCCAAAAGAAACTTTTACATAGATTTCGATTCGAAGCGCAACAATTTATGGTTGCTTTGCATGGCTATGTGTTTGATAGCGCGATTGCTTCGACTTGGGCTTTGTTTACGAAGAGACTCTCTAAAATCTCGAGAAATGCCGAATTCGAGATACCGCGCCAACAGCAGCAACATAGTAATAGAGCCGCGACAACTGCGTCCTCGGAAACACAATCAATTGTTACTGGAGATAATGATGACGAAGAAGAAGACGAGGATTTCTCTTTTATGGAAGATGATGAAGAAAATAATAATGATAACCACCAAAAAGACGTAAAAGATCTCGAATCTTTAAGAGCCTACCACGAACACGTACTCGACCGCATGTTATATCAATGCATGCTAAAAAAGAAACACGCGCCAATAATGAGAATCCTAAACGCGATCCTCTCTGTAATCCTATCATTCGCACAAAAATTACAACGACGACGTACCACCGTGTTTTACGATGCGTCTCAGCGACAAGAACATTGGGACGCGATTCAGACGCTCTATGATCAGTTTCAGTTGTACACGACATCGTTGGTGAAGATTTTGCTAGCGTTTGAGGAGAAGGGTGGCGGACGAATGGGGATTGGTATGAAAAGGCAGTATTATCGAGGGGGTGATGGATTTGGCGAAAGAGGGGGAAAAAGTGAAATGAATTTACATAATGCTGGTCGATGGTATCATGATAAAGCTGATAGTCAATCCGGTGTGAGTGGATTCATGCAAGAATTTTTAGTGCGTTTGGATTGGAATGGACATTATAAGAAACTAGTCAAGTAAAAAAACTTAACAGATTCTAAAGAATAAGAGTTTGACCATTGCCTAAGTACCAGCGAGCTAAATTTGCTCTCTGCAATTGTTGACATCTTTGAGATAATGAAAAAACATGTGCCACGCGATTTTGATTGGTGACGTCTTATTATCACATAAAAATCATTACGTCTTTTGATTGGCTACACTTTATAATCACGTGGAAATCTTCACGCGTTGAACTTTTTTGATGTTACTTTTTCTGCGCAGTAAAACAATAAAGTCACGTGTTTTATAATACCCAGAATTTTTTGTCCGGTCATCACAATTTTTAAGAGGTAAACCAATATGAACGAGCTCAATCATGTCTCCTCACTTTTGAAGTTAAATATATGAGATGTGCAATATCACATGTAACAGCTGGGTTCAAAAGCTAGAATGTGTTCCGATCTTAAGACACATCGTGACATATTGACAACTCTCCAAGTAGCCAGCTGGATTCGTTCTGGCTGGTGAGAGTGGAGTTCGTCTTCCCTCGGCGCCCTTGAATACACTACACGTTAGTTGCCATGACGCAACAGGTTGGGTTCGTCCTAACTGGTTGTCAGCACATGCCCTTTGATCGGAACTGTTAATTTCGAACGGTGTGCCGGGAACGTAGATGATCTTATAAAATGATGTAAATCTTCTTCTACAAGTGATCTTTTATATCTTCTTCATTATTATTTTCTACATGAAATAAATAAATTATTTCATCTTCATTTTCATTATCATTATTATTATCATTATCAGCATCTTCTTTTATTTCTTTACTTATTATCTATTTATTGTAATAGTATAATTGACCAAATAAATATTCATTTTCTTCAACTTCATTTTTCTTTTCACTTTCTTTTTCACTTCTTCTTTACTTTTTTCTTCACTTTCTTCAAACAAATTCAAGTATGAAAAATTTAATGATGATTGCATATTTTCACCCTCAGAAAATACCAATTAGTTTTTTGATTACTTTTGTTGACTAATTAATTTAGCAATTGCTGAAGAATTTTAGTATAATTAGTTGTTTGATTATTAGTTAATTGTTGATTTGGTATGTTATTAATAACTAGTACTTGTTTATTGTTATTATTTAGATTATTATTATTGCTTGTTGAACAATTTCTTTTGATATGATCTGGTATTCACAAGTATAACACATTAAATTAACTGATTATTGATACTGTTTATTTTGTTGTGATTTTTATTATTAATAGTTTAGAAAATTTTTTCTTGATTGATTATATTATTAATTCATTTGTCTGAATATTTGAAATATTTGAAGCATATTTATTCATATATGCTATCACTGATTTTTGATTTTGATATATCAATTCATAGGTTCTTGCTCTATTTAATACAGTAATTCAAGTTTAATTATTATATAACTTTATTATTAGATATAATAGATTATTTTTCAATCTTTTTGTTTTCATGACTTCTAAATATTAAAATTTATTATCTTCTACCTTTTTATAAAATTCTTATAGAGTACTTACATAAGAGTAAGGATGCTTGCCTAAATCCTTTCAAAAAAATATTGTCATAATTTTAACAGATTACACACTAATTATTAATTAGAATTTTGATATAATTTCAATTATGACGGGTTTCAAAATTTGTCAGAATTTTGACAGGTTATTTACTAATAGTTTATTATAATTTTAACAGAATTTAGACAATCACTAAGAGATTTCAGCAAGCAATTTTACATAGGAGTTAGAGATAGTGCAGCAGATATATGATACTTATTTATCATTTGTTGCAACTTCAAAATTTTATAAGCTGCAATTAGATAATGCTTTATTTATCACCATGATGCAATAATTGTCACACTATCTTTAATAGAAATTAACATTCTTATTTAAGTTTTGTTGTTTTTTTTCAATTTAGTTATTCAAATTTTAATTAAAGTTATTGTATAAAAGGTATTTACAAAATTATGTTTGAAATCAATATTATTATTATTTCTAATTTATTGAATTATTCTATTTTTATTATTATAAGTGAGTTTTTACAGATAAAATATGAATAAATATTATGTTAAAATAGCTAAACTTAATCATAATATGAATTGTTAATTAGTAAATAATATTATAATAAAAGTATTTATTAAATATAATTTGTATGATATTATCAAGGTCATATTAATATATATAAAATAATTTTACTTTCTTGTTTACTAAATAAAAATACATAAAAATCAAATTTATAATAATAATTATTTTATTAATAAAAATAATAAAATGATAAAAATATTAAAAATATTAAAATTATATATTTTCAAAAGTAATATATTTTTAAAGTAATTTTATTAAGTTATTAATTGGGATAATTATTATAACTTACTTTTTTACAACTAAAAGAATAGTTATATTTATATTTAATTTATATAATATTTTTATAAACTAAATTGAACTGAATTTTTATTTGAATTCAAGTTTAGTTTAAAATTTGAACTAAATTCAAATTAGACTTTGACTTAAATTCAAAAAAGGTTCAAAGTTTGAATTGAACCATTATATAAGTTTGAGTCTAATTAAAGTTTAATTAAAAATTAGCATATAGTATCATATATTAATTTGTAACTCTAAATATAAGCTATAATCAAATCTCTTTATAATAATTACTATTGGAAAAGCCAAATTGAGTGACTATAAAGGAATGTAACTATAAAGAGATTTTATATTAATTAATATTAAAATTGGAATTATAATAATTTTAATCAAAATTTATGATAATTCTGACCAAAATTATGATAATTTTAATTAAAATTATTATAATTTAATTATAACAAAATTTTATAAATAAATAAATAATAATTTTATAATATTTCTTAATAATAAAACTTAAAATATAAATAATTTTATATGTAAAGTTAATTTTTTACAAATAAATAATTTTTAATAATATAATTAAACTTATATATTTTTTTAATAACACAAAATATTATATAATTTTTATTAATTAATATTTAAAATTAAAAAAATTTTTATAAAAATTTTTATAAGTAAAATCAAAAATGATCAAAATAATAAGCTTTATAATACTAAGTAAAAAGAAAATTCATAAAATTAAATTTTTTTTATTATTATATAAAATAATCTACAAAAATTATTATTAATATAAATATTTAATATTGCATAATAATTATATTTATTTATTATTTAATTAATATAATATAATTATATAATTAAAAATATAATTAAAAATATATTTATATAATTAATATTTAAATAAATATATAATTAATAATTAATATAATTATTTATAAAGATGAAAATAATATAAAAAATTATCAATTGATTTTTGTTTCATATTTTTAATAATTTTTTGTTTTATAATAGATATATATTTTCTAAATATTATTAAATTATCTTTGTTAATTTCTTTATCATTAGCAGATTATTGTTTAATAAGTTGAACCAGACGCAAGGGGTTTCAGTTGGTCTAATAGTTATGTCACTACCACCTGTTAATGTAATTTTTGCACTTTGTAAATTTCGTTGATTGTTGATTTGTGTATGGGAATCTATCACACGGAGACCCTTTGGTAGTGCTAATGCATTCTGAAGCCATCTCACAACATTGGTCATCTGCTCAGATTCACTCATCCCTAAATCCCAACCGAAGGGTGAGCACGAGACCGGTTCAAATGATTCGAAGTCATCCTTTGATAACTAGATAATGGATAAGTGATGAGTGGTAGAAACACTCTAAATATACAGAAAGAGGGTACTTACTCCTATAGTCGGCATTCCAATATCAGACATTATTTTTCCCATCTTTTTTCCAGAAAGTTCTGAAACTGGCATCTCAGCAGGGAATAGCTGGGTGAATTCTTCCCGCACTGCTGTTTTTACGATCGCGCTTAAATCTGATTCTTCATATTTACGTTTTAACGTCGCTTGTTTGAAAATAGAGAAAAAGTCAAAGTTAGTATGCATCACAAAACATTATACCAAACGTTCCCTTAAAAAATATCCCGCCGTGATAACCGTTTTGAACTGTTAACCATCTCTTTTTACCAATTTTTGATCGCGAAATCAACAGATGATTGCATTATTGGCTCACTAATTACCTTGCTCTTCGCCCTTCAATTCCTTAACCAACCTTATTATTGCTTTAGCAGGTCCAAGAGACATTCCAACATTCATAAGGTCATTTTGTGTCAAATCAAGAAAGGCTTGACCGGAAACTTTTTGATCCGTGATTTTCTGAATATCTTCGTCGTCAAGGTCTAGACTTTCTTTCATTGTGTTCAAGAAAGTTTTAACATCATTTCGCTTCCACTTCTCGACTTCTTCAATACTTGGCTTAGGAATCTCAATAGCTTCAACGTCCTCCATGGAAACTATTATTTTTACCAAAGATAATGAGCAGTTCCTCTATAAACAATACTTGCAATACAATAATTACCAGTAGACTGTTCCCTTAGCAAGGGAGTTTCAGATGTACCAATATCTGGTGGTCGAACGTCTTTTTCTTTCTTAGACGCATCAGCATCTGATGGCAGAACGTCTTTGCCACCTATTTTTCACCAATGATAATAAGTAATTTCTCCACAAAAAAAAGTTCCAGATTGTGTATATAATGATCAGATTAATAAAATCTTTTTTTTTATCATTACATCATTTTGCGCAATACGTATTACGTAATTAAAAGTCATGTGTTATCGTAAAAACACTTTTGAATTTTATTTTTCTCGATCAATCGCCGGTTCGGATATGTCTTACGGATAAATCGTGCCGGCGCGCAAGAATAACTCATAGTTCGAGGATTTTTCTTTGCAAAAACCCTCACAATCAGAGTCGTGTGATTTTTAATAAACTTTTGAACATATCCGCATTTTGTATAAACAATGTCAAACACTCAATCAAAAATCGATTCGTTGCAAGAATTAAATTCTCAACTCATTGCCACGATTGCTGAGCTTAGAAGGGAGAATGCCAAGATTCCCGAACTTGAAAAGAAATTTGCTGAGATTAAATCTGAAAATGTGAAGCTGAAACAGATTATTGAAGAGAATGTAAAGCATGATATTAGAGTCAAGGAATTAGAGCAAAAGAATAAAGAGCTTGAGACTAGGCTTGCAGTAGTGAAACAGAGTTCTGTGACAGTTGATGGGCAACCACAGAATGACTCATGGAGTGAGGATGCTAGCGCATCTAATGAAGCAATACCAGAGGTAGTGTCAGCTGTTATTGTACCCAATTCTCAAGTAGTTTAGCTCAAACATTATAAGCCTGATTGTAATATAAATGATGCGGTTCCTTCTGCCGATTCCAAGATAAAAAGATCGATGAATTCCTGGATGAAGTGCATAAGAAAAGGGTTAGTGATGAGATAAAACAGCACAATAGGAAGAAGAAGCTTCGAGATCAAGGTCTATCTTTGGTTAGCCATAAGAAAAAGGGAACAGATAAACTCTGGCAAGAATTGTTCAATACTTCTCTAGAGCGAGTTCACAAGATTACTCTATATCAAAAAATATTAAACCAGGACAGATTATGGAATATATAGGAGTTAATGGTTCTATAAAGTGTATTGTTAATTTATTCGACATTAATGAGATATCACAATATTTAGCTCAGTTGTGTAATACAACCATAGATGCTGAAGATCAAGCTTCGAAGGCTAATCAGAAAGAAATTATGTGCTGGTCTCTTTATAATAGGAATTTTGAATTTCAAGTTGATAAGATGAGTAGTAAAAATAAAATTAGTGATAAAAAAGCAAGAATCTTAATTTATAATGAAATTAAAAATTAACTCTCTATTCTTCACAAAAAACAATCACAAGATTTGAATTTACAACTTCTAAATATATCACAAGATATCTTGCACAAAAAAACTCAAAGAACTGTAAAAATTTATAAATTATTCGAAAAGATAGATTTGGATAAAATTAAACATATTAAAAACTATAGTGCAAATTCTATCTCAGAACTTACTAACGATTAAATTCAAGAAATTATTAATATTAATCATGGTTTAGAGAGCCAAATTTCTAATTTTCCTTCTCTTGAAATTTCTGAGATGGAGCCGTCTCGAAAAATCTCATTTCACATTAAGGTAAATAATTCACCAAAAGCAAAGGTAAATGTACCTAAAAAATAGAATAATCTGATCCATGACCGTATAAGTTTTCGTAGGAAAGTATTAGATCAATATCCTGATATATTTTATGAATTTAATGATAAAAATATTAATTATTACAGAATTACTGATGAGACATTATGCTCTTTATGTAAATTAGATCATGATGATGAAGAAGACATAAAAGATGAATATAAAGATGAAACTTACTATTGTTATGATATGAATATTTAGTTCTTATTTTATTGGTTAATTCATATCATAAATTTAATGGATAATATTCTATTATATTTTATTGGTTAATTTTATATTTATATTTTATTGGATAGTTATTTTTAGATAATTATT